TTCTATGGTCAAGGAAAGGAGAGCCATAAGAGCGTCAAGTTAAAATCAACAGCGACACCATGTGGTCTGATGAGTCGAAATAATTACTTTTTAACGGGGTCGGTGTTCTGACGATTTGTGCTACCCTGTCAGATTTTGCCAGAGGTATGACCAAGTCGTTGTTTTGCAAGTCACAAGTAAGTCTCGAGTCTTTGCAATCAAGTCTCGAGTCAAGTCCCGAGTCAAGACAGACAAGTCCCAAGTCAAGTCCCGAGTCAAGACAGGCAAGTCCAAGTCGAGTTGCAAGTCCTCAACTTTTAGCTTCAAGTCTTAAACAAGTCATTAGTGCTCTTTGCCCAAATTAGTGTCTCAGTATTAATTACCATATCAAATTCATAGTAATTTATATCAGGAACGCAGGTAGAATATTTGACATACTGTAGTTCAATTTCGTGTGAGATGGATGCCCTTAGTAAAACTACTCAAGTTCAATTTAGGGATTGTGCCAAAATAGGACAAGCAGTGAAAAAAAAAAAAAAAACGATTTTATTAGTAACAGAATAGCTAAAACAACAGAATTTCATAGAAATACAGCTGCAACATACTTTGCATGTGTGCATAAGAATAGCTATATGCTTCTAGGTGTTTACCTATTAGATTGTGTTTTATTAAAGTCTACACCTACCCCAACCCTAAACCTGCCCTTACAGTAATGCAGATACATTAAATATAGGACGCAATATTGATATGCGCATGCGCAGTAAGCCCTGGTAGGACAATCTGACGGGTAGGATAAAATGTCAGGACACCGGCTCCAGGGGTGGGCTGAGCACACCCATGACTGTCTTGCCCACCCAACCAGAATTAGATTTAAAAATTTAGTTTTTTTTTTGTTTTGTTTAGTGATTAAAACCAATCTGAAGCGGACTGTATTTTGAGAAGTTTAGATATAGCTGGAGACTGCCCCAACAATCATAAAATAACACCAGAAAATTGCAGCATTTTTCTATTATTAGCTGAAAGCAAGGCGCGCTGAATTTACGCGGAGCTTCAGTCTGTTGCAGAAAAGCAGAGGCTGACAACGAGCGAAAATGGGGCAGAAATATTTGCGCGCTATCATCAGGAGTTTAATACATGAATATGTATCATAGCCTACCATTGAAATGACCTGAGCAGTTGAATTAATGTTCTTAAAAAAAACTTCATTCAATAACGTGCATTCATTGCATGGAAGGGGCAAGATAAGCGTTTAAAATGCATGTACATACAGCAGGCTATACAGTTCAGTTGAAAGCTTACCCCTTTTGACTTTTTTTTTGTTGGTCAAATTCCGCCGTTTTGAATTGAAAGTAGGGCTGTCATTTGATTCAGTTAATTCATAATTATTGTGACAACAATAGCATTTTTCTGTTTTGCGTTGTTTGCGTTTTCAACATATTAGGAATACAATTGGAATGGGTGCATATTTTAAAATAAAAATATTATTTGCAGTTCAGATTGATTACTTTACAAAAAATCTTATTCTTGTTCTTTTACTGTTCTTTTTTCTTTTAATTTATTCCACTAAATCCATTTAAATCCTTTATTTATTTAGTTCCTTACCAGTCTGGTCTGGTCTTTATATTTTCCTCCAAACAATTTTGTCCCCCCAATGTTCTAGACATGTTTACGGCCTTGTTTGGTACAAATAAAAAAGTTATTTGAATAGAATCACCAGTGTAGAAACAATGATCCAGAGAAAGAGAACAAAGAGGGCTTTTTTTTATTTAATACAAATAAATTACAAATAAATACATTTTTCTAGAAAACCTAATTCTAAGATAAAAGGTTATTTTACTATGATCAGTGAATTAGGTGTAACAATCACTAAGCAAAGGAGAATTAAATATCTAGCCTAGGGGTGTGCGATGTTGACAAAAAAATTATATCTCTATATTTTCTGGGATTTTATCGATAACGATCGATAATCAGACGATATTTTGCTGAGTGTGTTGCGCAGCAGGACTGTCATGGACAGCTGATTCTTTGTGGTGGTCAGTTCATAGCAGTGACAGAAATTAATCTTTTCCAACAAGTTTAAAATGATTTTTACCCTTTATGGGCATTTTTACCTTTGTAAAGCCATTTTTTTTCTCAATAAAAAGTAATCAACATAGTCAATTATAATAATAAGTCATTTGGGGCTGTTACCAACAAATAAAATCATTATCAACAAAATTCATGCAATGCAGAGGAAACAAAGAAGCTGCATCTGAAGTGGCATTTAGATGCATATACACACTGTTTAATGCAGGGCATAAATGCTTTAACCTGCAGTTACAAATGCATAAATGTGACCCTGGACCACAAAAGTCGCTTGGGTATATTTGTAGCAATAGCCAAAAAAACATTGTATGGTTCAAAATTATCTATTAGTTGTATCTCGGCCAAACATTGTCCTATCTTAACAAACCATACATCAATGGAAAGCTTATTTATTCAGCTTTCATATGATGAATAAATCTCAATTTCAAAAAATTAACCCTTATGACTGGTTTTGTGGTCCAGGGTCACAAATAATATTTTAATCTTAAAACGTTGAATACTGATATTTGAAATGATTAAAAAAATATATAAAACGGTACTTTAAATGTAAAATTAAAACCGCCAGTAGGTGGCAGCAAGTCACTGTTAATAAGTGAGTCATTGCGATTGAACCGAGTCAATTAAACAATTGATTAATTCAGGAACGAAACACTGTCATGTTTTTCAGAGACGCACAAATAGAGTCAACAAAATAGAGAAATAAATAAATAAATGAATGCCATTTGTGGGGAAAACACTACATACTCATATTTCTGGAGTCTTAAATTAATAATATTTAAATGCTAATGTTTGTTTTGGTCTTGGACTAGTAGGTGTTTTCACCGGTGTGTGTGAGTGAGTCAGTTGAGATAATAATTAGCCTAAAAGAATCGCTCACCTGTAGCTACCTGTGTAATCTGTAAAAATGCCTCTGAAAAAATCTTTTTTAGCGAGCTGATTCAAAAGATTCGAGTAACTTAGATGAAACAATCCACTATCCCCAGGGTCCCCAGACATTAACGCTTCATTAACGCCAGACAAATAACATGTTTAAAACATCAGTAACCAAAAATAACTATGTAAACACCAAAACGCAAGTATTATTTTGATTTTATTACATTTAGAGTAAGTAGCGAATAGTGGATATAGCTACTGTATATAATGCATCTATTGACGGAATAAGGTTGCGCAGCTGAGGAGAGGCTCACGCAGCATCTCCAGGAGAAATCAAAACGCCCAACACTAAGAAACTCAGCATCCTGAGGTAAAAATTCAAAATGTAAAGTTTTTATATTTAAAATACAGTTAGTTAGGCAACATCACACAACGTTTTCACCATTACGACTGTTTAATAGTTCTATAAACGGTTCAATAAGAAAATACAATAATATTAGGTCACTTACATTTTAGGCGGAACACAGCGGCATCTCACAGCAACCAGCCGATTTCATTCACACACACATATATAAGCTCGATACCATAGAGCCCACCCACATAACAAATCCCAATTTAACCCCTGGTTATCCCCCATGTGCTCCCATGAGAAAGCCTTTTTTTACACATACAAAACATTTGCCTCCTACTTCTGCTTTGTACTTTGTGGTTGTTTTCTTGCAGTAACTGTAAAGCCCTGTGGGTTTTCACTGCAGATTCTCACAGCTACGCATGCACACCAAATGAAAGATCAGAAACGCTGGAAGGTTGTTTCATCTGAATACATATTTATTAGATAAATATTAGGATGTCACAGCATCTAACTACATACAGTTTCGCAAGACTAAAAATCACAATTAGTTTTTTGTTGTTTTTTTCTTCTTCTGACCAGTTTAGAATATGAAATGATTGTACAACAGAATGTACAAGCAAAGACAACTGCAACGTTTGGTGCCAATCACCTCAGATTGTACCTCATATTTGTTTTTAATTTTCCTGATCATATCAAAATTGTACAAACTCTAGATTTTGGTTACAATCTTTTGGAACCGCTCCTGGCCCCGTGTTTCTATTGTCCAAATTATTTCCCCAGGATTTTCTTCATTATCTTCTGTAGCACCTTATTAAGTACAATAAATGGAGCAATACACGTAAGCTAAATATTACACAAATGTAAAACAAATGTGTCTCTTTTTATCCCCTCCCCAAATTCCTCAGTCATGTGGGATGAATATTTTACAAAAGTGAACAAATGCTTAGAGGTTCCACAGACGCTAACAAACACAGATTAATTTTACCCAATTTAGATTCTGATGGGTGGATGCAAGCTTTACAAATTCTAAATACACAATGCACATTCCCCTGGGGAAAATGAATACATTTCTGTTAACGTGTCTCTATTTATCATTTACATATGTACATGCATCCCTAATGTGCCCCTTCCCCCCTTTTCCTTCGACCCTCACTGAACCCTCACCTGTGGCTGAGTAGTGAACACACTGTCTATTTCATTCAAACCTTTCTGTTCCTGCCCGAGCACTCACTGCCTCTTCAACGACTGTACATCGATAGTACGTGACAGCTCAGAGCCGAGTCTTTAAGTTCAGTTTATGCCTATTTGTGTCTACAAAGTGGGAACGAATATGTGGTAGTGCATCTTTGAAAAAGGATATACAAGTGAACTACAGACAAACGCTATAGAACTTGAACCCACGTTTTCCTGTTGGAGTTCTAAGTATTTAAATTGTCAACGACAAACATCATTTTTGTACATAATTCTACACCAAGAAGAACAGGGGAAAAAAAAAACACTGAAAACTAATATTGTAAATCATAAAAAAATTACTTAAAATGGAAACATTTTTCAATGGTGATGTTTCATCCAACAAAACACTTCCCAAACAGTATTCAATTGTACAGATGTCAACCTTCTTCAACAGTCTTTGAGTAACATCAGTATCTCGGAAATGTCGTTACAAATATCATAAATACTGACAATTATTCAAGCGGGCCATTTTGATTTAAAAACAAAAACAAAGAAATCGTATAGAAAATCCATCTTGTACACATGGACGTTGTTAACCTTCACTAAGCTGCTGATATAAAAGTTTGATTGGATTTTTACTGAAATGTACCTTTTTTTGTAAGAATTAAATGCATTGATGGGTATTGAGATAATATATCTTCATTATATAATTGAATTAAAAAGTAAAGATCTATAAATATATAACATTCTAACACTTTCTTCATTGTTTGCTGTGTAATAACTATGATATTACTTGTAAACAAATTGCTAAAAGTGAAACACTATACATTTGATTAAATTCTATGGGTAACAATTTAAAAATGGGCTTGTCAAAATAGGTTTGGGCCACCTTCTCAAATCAGGGTGCATAACTTTGGTAATCCATGGACATCTTGTGATAAATGTACACATTTTTGTAAATTTTTACAATTGTAACAACAGAAACAAACAAATAATTACCATTATATGAACAATATATTGTGCATTATAAAATAAAACTTTAACACAACAGTTCATGAATAAAAGGCTGAATTAAAACAGAACAGAAGAAATGATTAAGGAAAAAAAAACAGTATCACTTAAAATAAGGGGCGATTGGCAACAGTGAATGTTTCAACATTGTATGCAGTTTGTCAGAAGAGGGGTACAAATATCAAGGGCCTAAGACGACCAAGCCTCATGCATGAAGAGAACTCACAGAGAAGACAGATGACACAAAACTGACTTCCCTTTGAAATGTGAATTGCTTTCTTCTTGCTCTGTGACCGCTAGTGTGGAGAATCCACAGGATGTTGCGGGAGGAGGAACAGTCTGTCGGAAGACGCACAATATTACGGGTACAGTGCTGAAATGTTTGCAATTCTGTCTCGAGAAGGAAAAGAATGCATGCCGTGATGCCCTCTAGCATTTGTTTAGAACATGATGCATATGTCTGAAGGTGCTGGACATATGAATCACATTACAAAATGAGGTGCAAAGCTGCACGGTGTACTAGAACAGAACACATTCTTGTGTCAAGTGGCGTGAGAGTTTGGGAGTGTTTGGAGGACTTTCGCAAAACTCCCATCATTAGTCTCTGGGATGGGAGGGTTAGATCATTCTGGTGATTCCGAGATGATCTTTTTTACCTTTTATTGTCTTCTTTACAGGCTTCCAGGTGCAGTTTGACGCATTCTCTTGTGCTTTTTCGAGGGAGATGGACAGACAAACAGTGTGGACATCCAGCAGACAAGGACTTGGGAAGCTGTGGTGGTAGAGCTTGGAAGAACAAACCTTCAAGAGATTGCGGACACACAGAGGCCGGTACAGGAAGAAATATATATATATATATATTCTATTCAGGTCTTCTTTTCACAAAAGGAAAAAAAAAATCTGAATTAAAAATGCTACAATACTTTCCTAGTGAGCACACACACAGTTCTGTGTGACGTATTCATATGAACTGATTATAGCTGCACATGTATTTCCATTAGTATTGAAAGATATCACTTTAGTGCCAACCAACATGGCTGCCATATATGTGTGGAAAAGGTTGCTTGTAAAAGAGTGAGATATTTACACGAGGAAGAGGCAAAAGGATGGCTGTTTCCTGTTTGCAAAGTACAGAGTCAGTCTTCAGGTGCCTCTCGATTCCTGACAGCCAAACAAATTAGGACCTCCGCAAAAGGCCGACTGAAAGACGTCAGTTGTTCTCAAAAAGGGAAAGCAGATCGTCATTGCTGCTGCTTGGGAGGTCAGGAGGGTCTAAGTATGACAGCAACTCGTCTGGGTTCGCCAGTTCTGGCAGAAGCTACAGAGAGAGACAGACAGACACATTTACGTTACAATCTTGCAAATGACCATAAAGAAACATAAAAATACTGGGAATATACACAGAAATATACTGGGTTCAATACATGTTAAGCTCAGATGACAATATTTGTGGCATGATATAAGAAGGAAAAACAACAACAACAAAAAACTTTTGATTCAACCCTTGTAAAAAGAAAAAAGTAAAAAATAAAATAAAAAATTAGGTTATAATGAGGCTCTGAGAATAGAAATGAACTGGGACAATTTTTGGCTAATAATTAAAGGGTTACTCCACCCCAAAATGAAAATTTTGTCATTAATCACTTACCCCCATGTCGTTCCAAACCCGTAAAAGCTTCGTTCGTCTTTGGAACACAATTTAAGATATTTTGGATGAAAACCGGGAGGCTTGTGACTGTCCCATTGACTGCCAAGTAAATAACACTGTCAAGGCCCAGAAAAGTATGAAAGACATTGTCAGAATAGTCCATCTGCCATCAGTGGTTTAACCGTAACGTTAACAAAAATAACGACTTTATTCAACAATTCGTCTCCTCCGCGTCACCGTAACGCCATTTTGGAGAGTATCCGCTGAACGCAAGCAGCGTACGCTATTCTGTGTCAGCCGCGCTGCACGTTCAAATCAAAGCGTAAATACACGTAGAAAACGTATCGTTGTTTCGCGGCTGACACAGAATAGCGTACGCTGCTTGCGTTCAGAGGATATTCTGCAAATTGGCGCTACGGTGATGTGGAGAAGTACGGATATTCTCCAAAATGGCGCTACGGTGATGCAGAGAGACACAGAGGAGACGGATTGTTTAATAAAGTCATTATTTTTGTTTTCTTGCATACAAAAAGTATTCTCATCGGTTCATGAAATTCAGATTGAACCACTGATGACAGATGGACTATTTTGACGATGTCCTTCATACTTTTCTGGGCCTTGACAGTGTTATTTATTTGGCAGTCAATGGGACAGTCACAAGCCTCCTGGTTTTCATCCAAAATATCTTAAATTGTGTTCCGAAGACGAACGAAGCTTTTAGGGGTTTGGAACGACATGGGGGTAAAGTGATTAATGACAAAATTTTCATTTTGGGGTGGAGAATCCCTTTAAGCTAATAATTTTATAAAAGGCAGGTAAATTAAATTTGTCAAAAGTAGTGTTATTTGAGCGTTATTTGTTGTTTGAGTATTATTTGAGCTGTAAAGCTGTTTAAATAATCATTTAGAGGTTTATGGCAATAATCTTTTAGGGTATATGGCATTAAGTTGTCAAGACTTTAAACAAAGATTTAGTAAGTCAAATTTTTATATTTGAATGCTTGCAGACTCAATTTAAATTCTAAATTTTCAATTCCATTATAATTTTCTCATTGTAACCCAGAGATTAATTTCTGTGGTAATTATGTCAACATTATGCCTCAAATGCTCAAAAGATTGAGCTTAACTTGTACTGAATCCAGAATATTCCTTAAATCAGAACTTTTCAGATTGCTCAGAGCTTTGGACCATGACGAAAGCGTGAGGCTTGCATGACTGTGTGAGAAATGTAAGTAGCACATGACTCTAGAAATGGAAGAAGCCCATACAACCATCAGTGTAGATACTCACATCCAGAGAAGGCTCGGGCATGTCTGCAGGTCCCTGGCCACCTGCCTGCCCATTGGCGGCGGGATTGAAGGTCATGTCGGCATGTGGGTGACTGTTTTGGCCTGGTTGCTGGGGGGGCAGGGGCTGGCGTGGGGGCTGGGAGGATGGGGGGCCGGTGTGAT